CCCAAAGTGGTCTGGTAAAAATGCATCTTTTGTTGTCACCTCTTAAAGTCAAGCCCATTGAATTTTTCGGGCTTTTCAGCGGTAGGAACGTGTTCAGCCGGTACATGATTGATCGGATGCTGAGAGCTGGAACCTGCTCCGGTGGATGCCATCAGTTCAGTAGGATGATTGAAAATTCTTCTTGCGACTGTTGGATATTTGGTGTCAAAATTACACGGGAATCCTACGAACTGATATGTATTTTCAGTTCTTACAAATAATCTAAAATAGAAAATTACAATTGAACTGAAAATATAAATTACAACTTGAAAAAACGGAAAGATTTTAGCCGAGGCGAGTAAAACTCTTTCCGCAAGAAGAATACGCCCCGTGTGGCAGTTAACGGTTCAGGCGTAATTTCCCCAAAGATACAACGGCAAACGTCTCTAAATCTGTAGCACACCAGATTTACGAGCTCCGGCGAACGGGAACGGAATCGAGAATTGAGCACTTAATAATAAAAAAAAATATTCTGAAACAAATAAAAATATCACTTGTTTTTTCTCTTTTGATATTTTTATATCCGATATTTGGACATATATTTTCTTTCCTTTCCCTTTTCTTTCGTTCTTCTCTCTTTCTTTCTTTCTTTCGGTGTTTTTCTCCTTCTGCCCGAAAGGGCTATTTATAGTGTTGAGAGTTGCATCAATTTGTACAAATTGCAATTCATCTTGCAATTGTTTAACATTTTTTTTTTTTTTATTATTCTGACCAATTGGGAAATGGGTTGGCAATATGATGACAACTTTCATCACGCAATTCAAGAAATGATAAGGAATGAGAAATGATTGATATGGGTTCCCACTCAACTTTATTTGCACTCAATGATTTACATCTTATACTAACTACAAGTAACACCCGACGAGATAGTACGATAAGGGTACCATACCATTTTAAAAACAATCTGGATACCAACTTCCTGAGCATTAACATTTGAGGGAAAAATGGATACCAACTTCCTGAGAATTAACATTTGAGGGAAAAATAATAAAGATTTGTCCACAAATTGACAAAAATTGAGACATCACTTATCAGCATGGGATGCTCTGTGATGGGTCCAGCGGGTGGGGCCCAACCGTACCCCTGCAGACGGGGCAGATTGAGTTCCTGGAGAGCCACGCGTCGGCGCATTGCAGATGGAAGCCGTGGCTGCACCCCGGCAAAACCCTCGCCGCCTGCTCGCCCTCGATCTCGTCCAAACACACCGCACACTCCCCGCCCAGCGCCAGCTCCTTCCCGGCGACCTTCGGCAGCCTCTCGAGATCAGACGCCGACAGACCCATGTCGGGGCGGCGTTTGACCGGCAAATCGCGGCTCTCGGCGCCCGCCGAGTGGAAGAGCAGGCAGACGTAGACCAGGAATACGGCGGCCATTCCGGCGCACGGTAGAAAGAGAGCGAGAACTAAGGAGACCAACATCTATTCGGCGGTGGAATTGGAAGAATTATTTGAAATTCTAGTCGACCATGGCTGCTTGTGGGCTGTGGTGAGAGGGGGAACAGGGGAGGTGGGCTGGGCTGGGCTTTATATATGGTAGGGTTTAAGGGATTGTTTGGCAATTTTGGTTGTGAATGAATATAAAAGGGTCTGCGCTGGACAAAGTAAATACGGCGGCGACGTTTGGAATTTTATGTGTAATGTGGTAACAAATTCAAATGATCGAGTCGGCATATGTGAAATCGATGGATCTCATCCGTCCGTTCAGTAGAATTGAAATATAGATATTTTTAATAAAAGAGATGTTTTTTTTTTTTTAATTTTATATGTTAATTATTTTGAAATAGTGTAAATTTGGACTGTTAGACTAAATTCATTTTAAACATTCTCCTCCCCGTCGAACCCCTGCTCCAGCCGAGCCGACGTCTTTATTTTTCTCGTTGTCGAGTTTCTGCTCTGGTTGAGCCGACGTCCTTATTTTCTTCGCCGTCGAGCCCCTACTCCGGTCGAGCCGACGTCCTTATTTCCCTCGTCGTCGAGCCTCTGCTCCGGCCGAGCCGACGTCCTTATTTCCTTCGCCGTCGAGCCCCTTCACCATTCGAGTCGACATCATAATTTCTCCCACCGTCGAGCTCCTGCTACGGCCGATCGATCTAGCCCGCCGACGAGCCCAACTCTACCATGTTGATTTATCATTGCACGGCAAACGTCGTTAAACTACAAGCCAGGGAGCTATTACGAGGTCTTCGAGCCCTATCGCCAAAAAAAAAAAAATCCCAGACTCGAAACCCCAATAGATAGAGTCTGCAGTTCTGAAAAAAAAAATAATAAAAAATAAACTCGGAGTCCCTATAGATCAGATCCGGAGTTTCTTAGGAATGCTCGAAGCCGAACTTCTATGTGAGGCGGGAAGGCCAAGTGCCCATTGTCTGAACACCTAGAGGGCATTCGACTAGGCATTACGCCCAAAAGCCAAGCACTTGGAAGTGATTGTTTTGGCCGAACATGCCCAAAATAGTTAACCGAAACCCTTACGTGGTTTGGGAAGGTCAATATAGTCCAAAAGTTAACCAAATTCCTTTCGTGGTTTGGGTCCATTCTGGCAAGGCATAGCACCTACCGGCCGACATTCCGGCAAGGCACAACACCTACCAGCAGAAAAGGCTGGCGGTAGTAACCGTTAACAAAAAAGTCAGGCCTGAAGAATTATCGATGTAACATCCATTAATCGCGAACGTGCTCATGATAACACATTCATCAATTCAGTAAACATTTACGCATTCATTGATTTATCATCCATACATACATTCATCGCATACGCACGTCATACATACATCTTGACATCAAGAAAAAAATCCAAGCACTTTAAAGTGATTGGTTCGGTCAGTAGTGCCCAAAAAATTATCCAAACCCCCATCATGGTTTGGGTCGGTCGGAATGCCATAAAACTAAAGGCCTACGAGCCCTAAGACCAAAATGCCCTGACCGCGCGTCGCAACGCGGCAAAATTAAAATTTATATTTTCCTCGACTAACCTCTACTAACTAGTAGTAGCGGCGATTAAGGGTCGATTCCACATGAAGTGTGTATCAAATCATTAATTTTCTTGTATTAATTGAATTATAAAAGCGATAAAAGAGGGGGGATTGGATTAAAACTAAGATCCTAATAAAGCAAATAAAATCTAAACTAGAAAATAAAAATAAAATAGAATAAATAAGAGAAATTTCTAGTTCACGGTTCCATCTACACCCTCGACTGACTCATCTAATCAATTCTAGTATCAAATCTCGCCATCTTATGAAATTACTAGCCCTAAGCAACGACACGATTTGTTCTCGAATTTTTCCTTATTTTTAATCTAACCGCGAGACGCTCTACGATTAGACTTGACTTCTTGTACAGTTTAGAAAACGCTTCTTAGATTTAATACAATCAGTCGCTTTACGAATTAGAAAAATAGGCTAGACTAAGTAGTGAACTCAATCGCGTTCGTTCACTTAAATAGGCCGTGTTATCCCCGGTAGTTATCATCTTCCGGATACCACCTACGAATTAAACACATCAACAATTACAGATTGAAAGGCCTAATTCAGGTGTAGATATGTAAAGTCTAATCTAGGATCAATATAAATAAGACTCAACACATCATGGTTAATTATTCAAAATAACACGAACAATTCCAAAAAGACAACTCAATAATCAACCACGTAAATCAATCAAACATCATCAAGTACGTAGGGTTCGACCTCCCCGGAACTAGAAATAAAAACTACTCTAACATAATAAATAATAAGCAAAAGAGAAGAATAAAGTTATCCTTCTCGTGGCGGTTGCGGTCTCCCTCCGCGATTGATCTGGTTCTCGCGTCTTTTTCCTGCTCTGTATACTTCTCTATTCGCGTGAATATTTTTCTTCCAGTCCTGGCTGTGTGGTGGAGGCTCAACAAATAATTCCCTCCCCTCCAAATAATTTCCCTCAACAAATAAAAAATGTCCTTCAAATCTTCTTTCCCAAAGTCAACTCTGTCGTGCATGACTTAATTTGTTTCCCACGTGTATTCACCAAATCAAATTGCTTGCACATGAATTATTTTCACAAATTGGTTAAATTTTGGGCCAAATCCTTCTAACCACCACCAGCCCACTTGCAACACATTTGTTAGGCTTCGTATCATCCTCGGGCTCTAGTTTGGGCCAAAATAATGAGCTGGCATTGGACACCCTTCGTACTTGACTACTCAATTCTCGTTCGGTGCTACGCCGCCAATTAAAATTCTCTAATATCTTGGAAATAAATCATAAATATATCATAGTACTTAAATTCATCTAATAAATAAATAAGTCAAAAAATAGATAAGTGCGATAAAATTAAGCATATAGAAATACATTAATAAATATATAAAATGCGCACTTTTTTCAACTAATCATGCCCTAAAATTAAAGGCCCAGTAAAGCCAACCATAAAGCAAGTAGAAAGAAGTTGCAAAACCATCGCACGCGACTCAAATCACAGAAAATATCATGGCCCAGACGCCCCACATAACATCTGAACAAATCATTCCGGCTCTTATGCAAATCGGGCATCACGCCACCCGACCGAATAATAACTAAATAAGAACAAGTCCAAAGAACCGAATACCGAGTTATCTAACCGGGTCTACATAAAATATTGAAACAATCACATAAATAAGAAATCACGCCATCTCAATATGGCAAAATCGCGAATATGGTAATACTGTCAACTTAAAATCACCAAACGAATCATATCGACAAACATCTTCATACAGATCGCTAGGCTCGAGTGCCCACACACTTCCATACCATTACCATTATCGCAAAAACAAAACTAATTAAACACTTCGTACGGCAGGAAACGCAAAAAACAGTTACCAAATTACCCGATTAGGCCACTCAGGTCCCATTCAGATAGCAATTCCAAAAATTGACTATCCATGCCATTTACTCAATTTGTCAGAGTTGAAAACACGAGTAACATAAAAATGTTATGTCAAAGCCTGAAAATGATCAATAGAACGTCGAATGGTCCCAATGCACCCAGAAATTACACATGGACACTTATCCATTCGATTAATGCCAATAAGACAAAGACGTGACCTGATGTATCACGGAAGCGATTATTCATCACAACATAAAAAAGGCCCAAGCTCAAAAGATTACAAGCGAAAAGTCTGCCAAATTGTAAAATAACGCGACTTTAGAACAGTTCTATTCAGAACATGTCATAAACTCGGGGGCCTCTAGTTGATACCCACTTTGACCACAATTAATAGAAATGGCACACGTGAAAAATGAAGAGTTAAAATATGTATGAAAAAAAATATAAAATAGCAAGTTTTTTCGGCCTGATCATTTAATACAACCGAGATCCCAAAAGTCAAGATCGCTTACATCGAGCCGAGCAGAATTCAGTGTCTCCAGTCCGACCCAGATATCATAAAGAAGCCGCCCTGGTAGGCACAATAATTGCCGACAGAAAGTTGTCAATCGAAGTCATCAAGTGTCATAATCGGGTCCCACGCGGTCGCCTCACATTTAAATTAGATGTACTATGTGTATCTTGTATTTTTTTTATGATTCCCCACATGTGCCCTATATATTGTGAGTGGGCTCAATTATTCTGATACTTTTTTCTTCTTTCCTTAAGCTAAAAACTAAAAAAAAAAGAGTCATAAGGGATACAAAAAAAAAATAAATCTTCCTCTTCAATCTCAATTCATCTTCATAACAAATATCATACTAAAATTCCAAGAATCTTATGGATACTTTTTTCCTCTTTCCTTAAGCTAAAAACTAAAAAAAAAAAGGAAACATAAGGGATACAAAAGATAATAAATCTTCCTCTTCAATCTCAATTCATCTTCATAAAAAATATCATACTAAAATTCCAAGAATCTTATGAGTTGATCAAATTTCTCATATCAACAATATTCAAATCAAAACTTCCGGTATATACACCAACAATATCCAATACTTATTTATTTGATTTACCATGGGTTAATTTTATTCTGGTAGGTCGACATACTCCGCATCTTGGTATATAATGTCGTGTGAATGATGTGCCATTGCAATTATTTACGGCCACTGTGTCTTGATCCACCGGGTTGATGACTTCCTCGAAATGAGCTAAAAAATGATTATTACATCAAGTCCGACCGGCAGATTAATTTCTGACATAATAAAGAAGATTGAGTAGTACCATTTTCAGATAAAGAAGTTGATTAATAATATTGCCATTAATTAAAATAACCAATGAACGTTATATATTAAATATGGGGAGAGTAATCGAGCAATTAGCAGGGAGGCGAATTCTATGTAATTCGGGCGCTAATTTGCACGTTGGCATTAGTGTCTTTTTCCCACAGGACAATTTTAATCACAGTTCACCAGAGCAGACTTCATTTAGGATGGTAGTAGAAAACTATTTCAAAAGTTTATGGGCCTTCACAGGTGGACGTATAT